TACAAAGGGAGAGGGAATAAAGTCAAGCAAATCTGGCAAAAGACTGAGAAGTCTGGACGTAAGGAGAATGATCAGGGGAGGGATCAAACAAAGAGGGTGGAAACACCAAAGCCCCTAGAGGACAATACAATACAGCTTAGTGCATCTACTGAGCAACCTGCAGAAGAAGGGTGGACAACAGTAAGTAGAAAATCGGCAGCAAGGATGGCAAAAACAAAGCAAGTTGAAGGCAAGGTTCTTGGAGGCTATAATGGATTCCAATCCTTAGTAAGGGGACAAGAGCACACAACCAATGCTCTAGGACTAAGCAATGTGCAGATGGGGTCTTATAGGGGGCAGGAGCAATATCATGATACACAATTCATACCAGTATGAGTGTAATTACATGGAATGTTAGAGGTTTAAATAATGCATACAACCAAAAGGAGACAAAGGACTTCATAAAAGTAGAATAAAAAGGAAGTGATTGCACTAGTATAACATAGAATAAAGGAGCAGAAGACTAGCAGTACTATCAGCAAAATTGCCCCAGGATGGCAAGGGATATCAAGCTTCAGCAACAACAATAAGAGCATAATATGGATTTTTTGGGATCCAAGAATTTTTGATTTTGAACTAATTGAATGGATTGTCAGTACATACATGGACAAGTCAGAACTCACTCAAGATTGGTATCATTTGGATTTACTACAATATATGTCTTGCATACTATTAAAGATAGGTTGAGTATGTGGCAAAAACTTAGGCAAATAAACAGTATACAACATGGACCATGGATAGCAATGGAAGATTTCAATTCAGTACTTAATAGTCAAGACAGACAACATGGTACTGTAATACAAGATATGGAAACAAAGGATTTCAGGGAATTCATGACTGACACTAGCATGAATGAATATTACCTATTGTTGGTAGAGACTATACAAGGAAAAATAATCATACCAACAGTAGGATCGATAGTGGAATAGTTAACACAAACTGGTTGCTGACAATGCCCAATCTGTATATACAGATCCTAGAACCATCATTCTCTGATCATTAACCCTTTAAGCTGATGATCACACAAATGCAGAGGAAGAAAGCTAGTTTGTTCAGTTTTTTTAACTGCCTGGCTGATCACCCCCAATTCCTACCAGAAGTGAAGCAAGCATGGAGTACAACTGGAGATATTGGAAACCTATAAGGAGTGTGGAACAAGCTCAAGAGAGTTAAATAAGTCATTAAGGGCCTTAACACACAGCAATACAAAGGTGTTGATGGCAGAATCAAAGAAATCAGAATGGAACTACAGGAGGTGCAGGAGAAAATGGACTGTAAAAAAATGAATCAAGAACTAGTTGAGAAAGAGAAGGAACTGAAAAGTAACCGAGAGAAGTGGATACTGATTGAAAAAAGCATCTATAGGCAAAGTTCAAGGGTGCAATGGCTGAAGCTCGGGGATTCTAATTCTGCATAATTCTTTGCATATATAAAGAACAGGTTCACTTTAAATGGAATTCATAGTCTCACTACTGATCTAGGGTTTCAGGTACACATGGAGGATGAAATAGAGGTTGAAGTACTTGGCTACTATAAACAGTTGATATGGTCAAATGCTCTTGTAATCCAAGCAATAGATCCAAATGTAATGAAAAGAGAGGCAATTCTCAATAGAGAGCAACAACACAAATTGATACTACCTGTTACAAGGCAAGAGGTATGGAAAGCTCTGTAAGATATAGATGACTTGAAGGCCCCGGGATATGATGGATTCAATACAGGTTTCTTCAATAAATCATGGAATATCATAGGGGAGAAGGTAACACAAGCTGTATTGGATTTCTTTCAATCATCACAGATGTTCAAGCCAGTTAACTGTACTTCAATAACTCTTATACCCAAAGTCAAGAATCCTGCTACCATAAAGGAGTATAGACCTATTTCCTGTTGCACTACAGTCTACAAAATCATTTCAAAGGTTCTGACTAGTTGACTACCAGGAGTCATGGACGATTAAATAGATAAGACTTAGTCTGCTTTTGTTCTTGGAAGAGTTATTATTGATAATATCATACTGATTCATGAGCTAATAAAAAGGTATGAGAGGAAAGGGGTGTCACCAAGATGCATGATGAAGCTGGACATGCAGAAGGCATATGACTCATTTGAATGGCCTTTTCTTGAACAAGTATTATGTGCCTTAGCATTTTCAGAGAAATTTGTGAAATGAATATTGACTTGTGTACAAACTGTTACTTACACCATCATCTTAAATGGCTCAACAACTCAACCATTTGATGCTAGGAAAGGGCTTAGACAAGGGGACCCCCTATCCCCTTTCCTATTTGTACTAGCAATGGAGTACCTCAATAGAAGATTGAAGGCATTGCACTGTATCCTGGACTTCAACTTTCATCCCAAATGTGCCAAGATGCAGATCATGCAACTTGGATTTGTAGATGACCTTTATTGTTTTGCAGAGGAGATACAGTTTCAGTTTAGCTGCTATACAAGTGTTTTCTGGATTTGTCAAGAGGATGAGGACTGGAAATTAATAAGAAGAAAGGCTCTATCTTCTTTGGTGGTGTTTCACAGGATATTCAAAAAGAAATACTGGAGTTCCTTGGCATTCCAAGAGGGAAGTTGCCAGTGAGATATCTTGGAGTACCTTTAAGCTCTAAAAGAGTGTCAATAACTCAATGCCAACCTCTAATTGACAAACTAGTGGGAAAATCACATCCTGGACAACCAAATTATTATCATATGCAGGGAGACTGCGACTCATCAAAAGTGTCCTATTTTCCATTTAAACTTTCTGGGCTAAAATCTTCATGCTACCAAAGAAGATTACAAAAATGGTAGAGGCAATTTGCAGGAGTTTTTTATGGACATGGGGTGGCACTATATCAAAGAAAGCTCTCCTAGCTTGGGAGAAAGTCTTTCAGCCTAAGTCAGCGGGTGGTTTCAATGTAATGGACATGTCCTTATGGAACAAAGCAGATATTAGCAAGCAGTTATGGAACCTATGCAAGGAGAAGAATAAACTAGGGATCCAATGGGTGCATTGTTACTATATATAAAAAGCAAGCACGTATGGGAGGTGCAACCTAGCCAAGCTTCATGGATTATGAGGAAGATTCTGAAAGCCAAAGAGAACTTTGAGAAGGCAGGCTACCCATATGAAGATCTAATGCAGATGCAAACTTGCTCCATCAAATACATATATCATAAACTGCGAGGAGACTTCAACAAAGTGAGCTGAAGGAAGTTAGTATGCAACAATGCAGGATGTCCTAGGTGGGTATTCACGCTAACATTGGTGGCTCATGGTAGGCTATACACAAAGGATAGGTTGCTAAAGTGGGGCATTCATAATAATCAACTATGTCCTTTATGTTCACATGCAAACGAATCCATTCAACATCTGTTCTTTGAATGTCAATATGCTGCTGCAGTATGGAAAAGACTGCTCAACTGGCAAGGTATCCACAGGAACACCTATGGCTGGTCTGAGGAATTACTTTGGGCAGAGAACTGGACTGAAAACAGAAGTGCAAAAGCAGAATTATTCAAAGTTGTGCTAGCAGGCTGCGTGTATTTTGTGTGGTAGGAGAGGAATGCAAGACTCTTTCAAGCCAAGTCGAGAGATTGTGAGACACTTAGTAAATTAATTATGCAAGAAGTGCATTGTCGAAGCAACAAGAAAACATAGAAAATATTGAACAGATTGGACTACTATCCGATGTAATAGTTAGTGACTATTAAAAGGGTTGTAGAAAGAATGCATAGAGGAGGGAAGGGAAGTACAGTAAAGCTTTGAACATGACAAAGCTCTAAGGGNATATATATATATATATATTAAGATTAATAATGTCAAAAAATGGTGAGGCATAAATTACATCAATAATGTAGGGAAACATTATCAATTTTCTTTTCTACTCCTAAAACAAAAATCTATTTGCTTCACCGGAAAAAGACTAGAAAAAAAACCCATAAATAAATGGTGATAACTAAGAGGAAATGACATTGTATAGCCGCTCTCAAAATAATAGCCGAAAAAATATATATTTTTTGTATATATATACATACTATAGGTTATATACAAAAATTATAAAAATTCTATACATGTAAATAGTTTCTGGCGCGGGCTAAAAGTGATATTTGCCCGATATCTAACCGTCTCAAAATTAAGTCTATCCCCACTGCACTCCCACACCAGTGACCCCACTGAATATGTCCAAGTTTTGCCGAAAACAGAAAGATAACGCCTACCCGCCCAACGTTGTACGTAATCTATCTTTTACTTCCTTATCAATTTCATTTTTATATCATTATGATGGTGTTGAGCTAAATACGTAATTTAAGATAAGGAAAAAAAGGAATTCTTATAAACTAAAAGTAATTTTGGCTAATCTTAAACATACTGTAATATCTCTAAAATTATGTTATTAAAAGTAAAAAAAAATTAAATATTAAAATATGCCATTATTGTTTTAGACAAACTAAAAATTAAAAGAGTCACATCAAATACTTCCTCTGTTTAACTTTTTTTTTAGTTTAACTTGATATAAAATTTAATAAAAAAAATAAAATTTTTGAAACTTTTGATCTTAAATAAGCATATTATTTGTTTAATAAAAATTTCTCATTATTGAAATAGACTAATAAGGAAATAGTACATATCTTTTTTAAACGGAGCGAGTTGAACAGAATGATTTTTAATTTCTTTTTAAAGAGCAAACACCTCCATCCAATATATGTACTTCCCAACCTCTTCAGAGTTCACACCAGCAAACTACCTGCCCTGAGTTTCTCCACTGAAAACAATAACTTAGGTGGTTTTTTTCTTCTTTTCCAAAATGAAGACTCTAATATATCTAGTCATATTGCTATTAACCTTAACACTGAAAACAAGCAGCAGCAGAAATAACCTAGTAGAAACCACATGCAAGAACACACCAAACTACAACCTCTGCCTAAAAACTCTACTCTCCGACAAACGCAGCGCCAGCGGCGACGTCATGACGCTGGCGCTGATCATTGTGGACACCATCAAAGCGAAGGCGAATCAGGCGGCCAAAATCATCTCGAAGCTACGTCAATCCAATCCTCCAGATTTTAGTTTTACAGTTAGAACAAAAAAATTCTGAATTGTCGTGAAGTTCAAATTTTTAGATTAAAAACTCGGGATAAAATGAGTATTGATTAATCTCTAAATAGTATTCCCGAGAATGGTTATATGTGCATTTGCCCCCTTATAGGGTGAGAATTACCCAAGACTATATAAACAAACCAAATACCCCACGCATAGCCGATGTGAGACACCAGCACCCCTCTCTCCCTACAAACCCAGGACTCGACATCTAGAGCGTAAACAATATTTGGTCCCAACATTTATGAAATAAGAATTTGGTGGGTCTGGCTCTGATACCATGATAAAAAAGAAATGGACTTTGAGCCTAACTCAACCCCAAAAGCTAGCTCATGTGGTGAGGATTGCCTAAGACTATATAAACAAACCAAACACCTCATCTCCTATAGTCGATGTGGGACACCAATCAAACATTGCCATATAAATCGAAACAGATGAGTAACATTTTGTTAGAAAGTACTAAATCTTCCTTGAATCTTGCTCAGAACTAATTTAAATCTTTTTTTACAATATTAAGGCATTAACATTCAACATTACTCAATGGCTTTTCTTAATTTACTTCCTCCATTTCAGTTTATGTGAACCTTTTCTTTTTTCGAGAGTCAATTTGAAACTAAATTGAACAAGATTAACTCGATATATAAAGTTAAAATTTAGATATTCAAAAGTTATGTGAAAAGTATTATAAGTTTCAATTCTTCTCATGTCAATATGTTAAAAAATATATTTCAAAATATTGGACGAAGTGTACATAGTTTGAATCTCGAAAAGTAAAAATATTCACATAAATTGAAACGAGGGAGTAATTTTTAAAAGAACTTGGAAAGTATTTTTGAAACATAAGCCTGAAGATCGATTGTCGGTTTGGATCACATCAGTTTATTAGTTTATGTGGAAACGAGACTTGCATTTTTTCTTTTTGGAAAATATTTCGATTTGATTTTAGAAAAACATAAAGTTTGTTTTTAGAAAATCAAATACGATTATTTTGTTTGATCTTCTTGGTTACCAATTATAATGACAGGAATTCATGCTTGCTACGATAGATAATCCCTCATATACAGTTGAATGGACAATCAAAGAAATGTTGAACCAACCAAAGATAATGCAAAGGGCCATAGAAGAGATTGACAATGTCATTGGGAGCAATAGATTGGTTCAAGAATCCGATTTGCCACAGTTAAATTATGTCAAAGCTTGTATTAAAGAGTCCTTTCGAGTACATCCCTTGGCGGCTTTTAACGTTCCTCATGTGTCTTTATCGGATTCTGTTGTTGGTGAATACTTCATCCCAAAAGGGAGTGTAGTGTTATTAAGTCGTCTTGGACTTGGCCGAAACCCTAGAGTTTGGGATGATCCCATGAAGTTCAAGCCAGAGCGCCATATGAACGAGGAAGATGGTGATGTAATTTTCACTGATTCAGAATTACGTTTGTTATCATTTAGTATTGGACGACGAGGTTGTCCAGGTATAAAACTTGGCACAACAATTACCACTATGTTACTTGCTAGGCTTCTTCAAGGGTTTACTTGGAGTTTACCACCGAACTCTCTGGGCAATGACTTGACTGGTGATTACCCGGAATGTGCTCTCCTTCGCACCATGCCATTTTTTGCTAAGGCAAAACCGCGATTGCCTAAAGACATGTACCCTTAAATATATGAATTATACCATAATAAAGCATGTACGTACACATCATGTATGTGTATATACTTATATAAGATGTTTTCTTTCTGCTATAGTATTTATAAGAGGATGAATCAATAATATTAGTATGATCTATATTTTAAAGGTGATATGTGGCACTCCTTAAGACCATAATTCATATTTTTCTTTTTTCTCAATTTTGGTTTTTTTTTTCTTTTTTTAAGGAAAGAAACTATTAAAAAGTGTCTTTTCCTATGATTCAAATTGTCTTCATTGAGTTGGTTTTCAGTAAACTCATTTATTCATATCGTTATTTTGCTGCAGTAATAGCTACCATGACAAATCTTCTTCTTACTTTTGCATCCACGTAAAGGCCGAGACGAGTCGCGGTGGTAGGCTATTATTGCGCTTCGATCATCAAAGCTTGGCTTGTTTGGTGACTGTTGAATCCAATATTATAGTGTGACGGTAAAAACTTACTTGCATTGATATTTATACCAATTGTATGAATACATGACAAATGTCCTTCGCTGCTAATTCTTGGGCTTCCTTTTGGACATAGGCCTTAGCATCCTACTTACCCTGGAACCAAATGGCCAATATACTAAGATTTGACATTTCCAATTGTCATGAACGGTTACATTTGTTGCCAAAACAAACAAAAATGGAAAAGAGAAAACATCAGCATGACGATAGTTATGAAATTCCGAATAAGTTGATCCAAAATCTTCTCAACTACCTCTTTCCCACCTGAAATTTAGAAGCTTTAACTCTCTCTTCTTTCTCCATCTGTGTCTTTGTCATCATTTTGCACGCAGACTATATGTAGTGGTGGATATATACATATAAACCTAAGTGTATATATATACACACTTAGGTTGGGTCACTGGCTTCCGGTAATTTCGGAAAATATTTTTATATATATGTGTGTTGTGTGTGTGCGCGCATATATCTTAAATGACAGGTATATATTTTGATTGGCACCCTAAAACTCAAAGTTTAGACAGTTGATTGGTCGATATTGGCGGGCACAACTTGACTTTTAATGTGCTGCCTGGATTCGATTCGCACTTCAGCATTTGCTCAAATTTTTATTCGATAGTGATGTCCCTGCCACTTTTAAATCCTTGGTCCGCCTATGAATATATATGATGTGTGTGTAAAAATCACTAAAACTTCAATAATTTTACGTTTTAAACTATAATATTAACAATTTAATGGGTCAGTGGTAAAACTATAAAGATGGAACCCATCAAATTAAAATTTTGGATCCGCCTCCGAATAAAAATGCGTCATTGCCAACGCCTAACTAACCAGAATACCAATTCTTAAGATATAGACAATAAGAAATTATACCCAAACCTCAGCTTTAATTTGTTCCGGCTTTAGTTTCTTTTTTCTTCCTTTGCTTAAGCTTCATTCCACTTCTAGCTCGTTCTTTCTTTCAGTTGTAACCATGATATTTGCTTATTTCTCACTATTGATTTTCCTCTTTTTGCTACTACTAAGTTCAAGTTGTGCTTCTATTGATTCTAACGTGCCAAAATCGGATGTAGATTTATTAGAATTTCCTTTGAATTTAGAGTATATGGAAGCTGAATTTTTCTTGTGGGGTTCTTTTGGCCGTGGATTGGATAGCTTTGCACCTGAACTTGCAGATGGTGGACCATCACCTATTGGGGCTAGAATTGCAAAACTCAGCTCTCTAATTAGAGATGTCATTGCTCAATTCGGATTCCAAGAAGTTGGTCATGTTAGGTATATATTTATCTTTTCGGAACATATTTTTTTTTTTTAAAAAAGTGTATCACGTATTGGATTAATAAAATATTGAAAATTTTATTTGAATCGTTCACAAAGATTCAACTTTTTTTGCAATTAAAATTCATACTCAAACACAATTTCAATCTCAAAATACTTTTTTTCAGTTTTAGTTTCAAATATTCTTTATCCAATTCAACCAAATAGTGCAAGCTATATTGCATGGACTCTTTAAAAATATTGTAGCGCGCATGTCAAATCGTTAAAAAGTATACCACTTTTGGAATATTCGACATGCACCTGACGACATTTTTGAAAAGTCCGAGCAGCATAAGTGTCCTGACGCTTACATATCTTCTTCAGGAATTGATTTAATTTCATATATATATTGCAGGGCAATCAAGAATACAATAGCAGGATTTCCAAGACCACTGCTAAATCTAAGCAGAGAAGCATTTGCAACAGTTATGAACGATGCATTTGGACATCCACTAGAACCACCTTTCAATCCTTACGCTAACGACATTAATTATCTTCTTGCTTCGTATGTTATTCCTTATATTGGACTCACTGGATATGTTGGAGCCAATCCTAAACTCCACAGCCCTACGGCCAAAAGGGTAATCAATTTAAATTACTCTCTAAACTACATCTTTCAAGATACTAATACTGCTATCTTTCTTCCAATTTACATGGCATGCATTATTTCAATCTTTGAAAGTTGCAAAACATTTAACCATCATTTTAAATATATACAAATTTCAAGAATTTAAATTTAAGCTACTTGCAATGTCCTTGTCTTTTTAAAACCTAATTTTTCAATCATTAGTTTAATAACTTAACTTATATACACTGACAATGTCATGTAAAGAATGTTTATACTATCAGTTAGTTATAATTATTGTAACAGGTAATCTACCTTATTTTATTGGTTACAACTTTGTTTCTTTTATGGACAATTTCTGTAATTATCATTTAGACGACTTAATTTTAAATATAAATTTTTTTTACATTGTCATGGATAGAAGTTAAACTCTTATTATAATAGTCGTCTCATTATCATAAATATATTCACTAGTTAATTTCATATCTTAAACTTTCCATCTTCATAAGTTTTGTAGACAAAATCACCCGGTACCTATGTTGGTAAAAAATAACAAGTATATGATAGAATAATCGAAGTGCGCCAAATTAACATGGACAATATCGTTGTAATAGAAATTATCTTAAACTTCATGTCCAATCAAATTTCAATCTTATAAAACAAAAATGGGTAGAGTATTTTTCATTACATTCAAATTGATGAACCGTAATACTTCAAATACAAAACCAAAATTTGCAGCTACTAGCAGGGCTACTGGGAGTAGAATCAGGTCAAGACGCAGTTCTGAGAGCATTGCTTTACGAGCGAGGAAGAGAGAATGTGGAACCCTACGGGATAACAGTAGCAGAGTTCACAAACCGGATATCAGAGCTGAGAAATAAATTGGGACGCCATGGATTGAAAGATGAAGGACTCAAAGTGAATCCAGCAGTAGGTGCTGAAGGGAAAATACGAGGAAATATATTAGCAGGAGACAAATACTCACTTTCCTACGACAGAACGCCAGAGGAAATACTGCGAATAGTGTACGGAAGTGGAAATGAGAATAAACCAGGTGGATTTTACCCAAAAGGAGCTGACGGCCGAATAGCAAAATCCTATCTTGGACTTGGAGGGAATTAAACGTCAGGAAATTAAAGAAATGTTTGATTCCTACATGCATAATAAAAGTGAGCGAAAGCTTCGCACTAAAAGAGACACATGAATAAAAATGTGTTTTTTTTTTTGGAGAGATCGATGAGCTTATTGGACATTTGTGCTTATTATTTTCTGAATTTTACGAGAAATCATGTGTTATGTTCACGTTGCTTCATTAGATATCATCTTATGTCTGAAGATATTAACGATAAGTTTTCAAATTTGAAATGGGAAGATGTCATCAACAATAAAAATAATTAACAACAAATTAACAACAATATATCTGATATATTTTCACATGTAGGGTTTGAGAATGGTAATGTATACGCAAACCTTACTCCTACCTTAATGGAGGTAGAGAGGTTATTTTTTATATACCCTCAGTTCAAGAAAAACAATTCTCAGGAGTTTTGAAAAAGATAGTCAATAGTGAAGAAGCTATGTTGAAAATAACAAAGACAAAAACAGTAACAATAACAAAATAATAAAGCAATAAGAAAATCGACACAAGAAAAATAACAGATAGTAATAAAAATCAAAAGCTAGCTAAAATAATGCGAGAATGATAATAATATAAATAATACTACTACTAATATGGAAAATGGCAAGATGTCATGTTAGAAGGAAATGAGTATAGTGTTATAAAATAAAGACTGTAAAGTAAAGATAAGTATAGAGAGAAACTGATATATTATTCAAACTTCAAACTTATGTACATAATGAACTGAATTCTCCTCTATTTATAGAAGAAAGGAAGCTGATGTGTAAGCTGCTACTGCAAGCTGCTGTGTACGCTGCTACTGCAAGCTGCTTGTAAGCTGCTGTGTAAGCTGTTGTGTAAGTTGCTTGTAAGCTGCTGCTGCAAGCTGCTTGTAAGCTGCTGTGTAAGCTCTTTGTAAGCTGCTGCTCTAAACTGTTGTGCCAGATATAGATAATCTTCTATCATGGGTAATATTTATCCATAACGGAGTACCGAAAGGATAAGCTTCTTCAGGAGGCTTATTTCCAATAGAGTACTAAATAGATAAATGTATTTATGGCGGAGTCTCATATGGATAAACTTCTTCAGGAAGCTTATTTACAACGGAGTACTAAATGAACATCCATAATATAATATATTCATAACACTCCCCCTTGGATGTTCATTAAAAGATAATGTGCCTCGTTAAAATCTTACTAGGAAAAACCCCGTGGAAAAAAATTCTAGTGAAAGAAAAAGAGAACACATATTTAGTAATACGCATTGCTAGCTGCCTCATTAAAAACCTTATAAGGAAAACCCTGTGGAAAAAACCTTAATAAGAAAAAAAGAGTACATCGCGTATTTTACTCCCCCTAATAAAAACCTTGTTTCAAATATTTAAGTCTCCGCATTCCAATCTTGTATACCATCTTCTCAAAAGTTGAAGTTGGTAAAGATTTGGTGAATAAATCTATCGTATTGTCAATTGAACGGATTTGGTGCACATCAATATCACCATTTTTCTGAAGATCGTATGTGTAGAATAATTT